GGGGCAAAAGGGTGATAAAACATCAATCCAATAGCCCCCGAAAACAAGAACAGAAGGTGCCTGAAGCAAGTGTGTTAAACAATGATAAGCTTAGAGTCATGTCTACAAATGCTCGCAGTTTAGGGAATAAGATCCACATGAACTTGTGGCAATAATGACAACTGATAAAGTAGATTTAGTCACTGTTACTGATACATGGTATAATGAGAAAAATGACAGGAATATAGCAATACCACGGTACTCTTTATATAGAAAAGACAGGGAAGGCAAGAAAGTATAGCATAAAATCTAGCCTTATAAAAGTTAGTAAGGTGAACATAGAGTCCGTTTGCGTTACGCTAGAATTTGGTAATCACACAGTAACTCGTGTAGGTGTGATTTATAGGCCCCCAGGACAAATAGAAGAGTTAGATAATCTACTAGTTGAGGAAATAGCTAAACTGACAATGAAGGGGGAAGTTATCTGGGGACTTTAATCTTCCTGGTGTGAACTGTAAAACCAAAATAACTGCTTGTGCCCGGAGCACACATATTCTAAACTCTCTACTGGGATTGTCTCTAAAACAAGTCGTTGAGGAGCCATCTCGTAAGAAGGCCATACTAGATTTAGTGGTAACAAATTGAGATTTGTTATCAGATATTACTGTAGGTGAAAGTTTAGGATCCAGTGATCATCAGTCATTGTGGTTTGATATGAGAACAGTTTTAGACTTTAGAAAAACACTTTACTGACATTAGAATATGTGTAAAGGAGTCATTATCCTTTAGATTAGGCAGAAAGAGGCTAAGCAAGTTATAAAAGCTTCCAAATCACACACAGAAGAAAAAATAGCACAGTCAGTAAAATAAGGGGACAAAACATTTTTTAGATACATAAATGAATAAAGGAAAGTAAAACAAGGGTTAGTTAGATTAAAATCAAAAGAATAAAGGTATGTAGAAGAGAATAAAGGTCTAGCTGACTGCCTCAATTAATATTTTTGCTCAGTATTTACAGATGAAAATGAAGGAAAGGGGCCTCAGTTAGGAAAAAGGACACATGAGTCATTTGTTACATGTGAGTTTACAGAGGAAAAGGTTCTATTTCAACTGTCAAAAGTAAAGACAAATAAGTCAACGGGACCTAATGGAATAAACCCAAAGTTATTAAATGAGCTCAGTGGTGTACTAACAAAACAATTAACAGATTTATTTAACCAATCATTGTTAATAGGAGTAGTCCCAGAAGATTGGAAGTTAGTGAATGTTGTGCCCATTCACAAGAAAGGTAGAAGGGAGGAGTCGGGCAACTATAGGCAAGTAAGTCTTACTTTGGTAGTGGGGAAAGTAATGGAAACCATGTTAAAGGATAGGATTGTTGAACATCTAAAATCATATGGATTTCAAGATCAGAGACAACTTGGTTTTACTTCAGGGAGATCATGCCAAACTAATCTTATTGATTTTTAAGGGTGGTACAGTAGACATTGCTTACCTATATTTCATTAAGACTTTTTACACTGTTGCACATAGAAGGCTTATCAATAAACTGCAATATTTAAGTTTGGATTCCAATATTGTTGAATGGGTAAGGCAGTGGCTGAGTGACAGGCAACAGTGGGTTGTACCTCAAGGATCTGTACTTGGACCCATTCTCTGTATTATTTTTATTAGTGATATTGCAGAAGGACTTGATGGTAAGGTATGCCTTATTGCTGATGATACTAAGATATGTAATAGGGTTGATGTTCCAGGAGGGATAAGGCAAATGACAAATGATTTAGGTAAACTAAAAAAATAATGGTCAGAGTTGTGGCAACTGACATTTAATGTGGATAAGGGCAGGATAATGCATCTTGACGTAAAATCCCAAGGGCAGAGTACAGAATATTTGATAGAGTCCTAACCTCAACATCTGAGGAAAGGGATTTAGGCAGACAATGTAATAGAGTAGCAGGAAATGCTAGCAGAATGCTTGGTTGTATAGCGAGTGGTATTAGCAGTAGAAAGAGGGAAGTGATCATTAGACATGTGCAATTCGTTTCGTTCCGAATGCAATTTTGGAAATTCAGACATTCCTATAGGGTTAAGGGTTGGGGTAGGGTTAGTGGTTGGGGCAGATGTAGGGTAGATGTAGCCTTGAATTATGCAAAGCAGTGACATGTGTAATACAATCCGGTTCCAACACTCTAACTGAAAAGAAAAATACAGAGAAAAAGACAAAGTCAATCTCGCCTTCCAGGAAAAGCAAGAAAATAGAACCCTTAACTAAACTGGACATGGGAAAAAAAGACGTCAAAACAATTTATGTTATTATTGTGGTGATACAGGACACCGAATCACTTTCTGTCCAAGAAATCCTCCTGTAACCACTGAACCTCAGATACAGACCACAGAAACAAACTCTCCTTTAACCCCTTAAGGACTCATGACATGTGTGACATGTCATGATTCCCTTTTATTCCAGAAGTTTGGTCCTTAAGGGGTTTTAAACAATGACTATAACCACTGCATTTCTGATTTAACCAAAGCAGACTTACCTTCTTGTCCTCTCTCCAGATGATTTCCAAAAATTTCGGATTCGGAAGAGGGATCTGTAGAGATGGACTATGATGCTCCGCCCTCAGATGGCATATGTTCAGAGGATAAAGTCATGAATGAATCTCCTGAATTTATGGCTGCTACCTCTACGATTATCCAATCCACAGAAAAGCAAAATTTTCCTAGGAAGTATATGGACTTGCTCAGAAGCATGACACCTACTGATAAAACCTGTCAGCATTGGAGTACACTGGGTTCAACACTCACAGCTATAGGCTGTCTCGTACAAGCTGCTTACTGTATAGCAATTCCTCCATTGATGTATATTGGAAAAATACTTGGAAATATACTGAAAAATGCAGCCCGATGTGTGTATGCTTGTAGCACATATCTGCAGCCAAGGCTCAGAGCATCAAAAACATACAAAGCTCTATAAGGCTTTGTTCCATGGCCCAACATCCCTGGGGCCATGGGACAAAGGGTAATGTCAAACCGCTGATTAAACACAAATACTCAATGCAGAATACACAATACATTATAATTACGTCTGCAAGTAAATATCCCTTCTCTCCCCAAAAATGAAATAAAATGAAAATGTTGTGTGTGTATATGAAGGTTAAGGTGTATATGACTCTGTGTGTGTGTGCAAGTCTGTGTATTTGTGTGTGTACGTACATTTGTTGTGAATTTCTATATGTGAGTTCGAGGTTTGTGTGTGTGTGTATATGTATGTGTGTGTATATATATATAGTTGATGTATATCAGTCTGTGTGAGTGAAGACTGTGTACTTATATGAATGTGTTTGTATATGAGTCTCTGTGTGTGTCTATTTGCAAGTTTGATTCTGTACGTATATACATAAAAATGTGTTTTTGTCTTTGTTGGCATTAACATAACCAAGTTATTTAGCAGAGCAAAAAACGGGCTGCAAGAGTATTCTGAGAACGGACAGCAGCTGAAATAGCCTGCTCTTCGGTGGCTCCCCCTCAGAACTCAAGCTGGTTTTAGCTCATCTTGCGCCATTACAGAGATAACGTATCTGAAGCATATCAGACTGGTCCCACCCATACAGGCAGTCCAGATCCAAAATGCCAGCAAGTTTTCTCTGCAAGAGTGAAACAGCAACCCCATACGATCGTTTCAGCCTTGTTAGGCATCACCAGTGAGGCAGAGGTGATATCTCTCTAGGCACCATGAGCAAAGGGTCTACGTCTGGATTACCCTTTAAACTTATGGAGAGCAAAAACGGGTCGCAAGAGTATTCTGAGAACGGACAGCAGCTGAAATAGCCTGCCCTTCGGTGGGTCCCCGCTCAGAACTCAAGCTGGTTTTAGCTCATCTTGTGCCATTACAGAGAGAACATATCTGAAGCATATCAGACTGGTCCAACCCATACGGGCAGCCCAGATCCGAAATGCCAGCAAGTTCTCTCTGCACGAGAGATACAGCAACCCCAGGCGATTGTTTCAGCCTTGTTAAGCATCATCAGTGCGACCCGTTTTTTGCTCTCCATAAGTTTAAAGGGTAATCCAGACGTGGACCCCTTGCTCACGATGCCTAGAGAGATATCAGCTATGCTTCACTGATAATGCCTAACATGGCTGAAACGATTGCCTGGGGTTGCTGTATCTCTAGTGCAGAGAGAACTTGCTGGCATTTTGGATCTAGACTGCCCGTATGGTTGGGATCAGTCTGATATGCTTCAGATATGTTCTCTCTGTAATGGCACAAGATGAGCTAAAACCATCTTGAGTTCTGAGTGGGGACCCACCAAAGGGCAGGCTATTTCAGCTGCTGTCAGTTCTCAGAATACTTTTGCGACCTGTTTTTTGCTCTCCATAAGTTATTCAGCAGAGCTCTACACCATTAAAAAGGGGGTAATTAAACAATAAGTGAGACAAATACAAAATGTTACAAGATGAATAGGTTGGTGATGGCTCATCTCAACAAGATTACAATCTAGTGAATATGAATGTATGTATATGCTGATATAAATGTCTATTTATATGAATGTGTATGCATATATGACTGTGTGGATGTGTGTGTAATTTTCCAAACTAGATAGTCTTGGGGCGGGACCTGACTGCCATGGTGAAGAGATATGCCTTGCTCAAGCTCCTCTACAAGTTTGACAATACAAGCATTTATAGCCTTATCAAATCCAAGTTAAAACCTACCAAGCGACTAACATACCTTTTGACCAGACTACAGTACCCTGCGTAGGTTGGAGACTTGAAAGAAACTCCTTTGCAGCAAACCCTGAAACATGCGGCCTAGAGTGAGAGTGGTGGGAGAGGCGGCCGATCCCCCAGGCTGCAGTTGCTCAACGATCCTCCCCGCTGTACAAGCGCCTTGTTCCATCCCCCCCCTATGGACCAGCAGGGGTGATCCCGGTCCACACCTGGGTGGGTTCTATGACCTAATGGAAACAGAGGGTGAAGCCGCTAAGCCCACAGAGACAACAAGTGACCCTTCAAGAATGGCGGATACCACAGGGCACCCTGACTTCATTGAGGAACAGACTGACCTGCTCAACAAAATATTTGATTATTTCTGGCAGATGCTAGAGGACAGAATGCATCAGTCCAACCCAGTGCCGCTGCAGGTACACCCACCTCCACAGCCGATTGAACCCCCGCAGCGAATATTCGCGGCCCTAACAGGGCCACAAAATGGCGGCGAGACGGGAGGCACCCATCCCTCCGACAGCAGGTGAGCCAAAGCTGGGACTTTCAACCCCTTAAGGACACATGACATGTGTGACATGTCATGATTACCTTTTATTCCAGAAGTTTGGTCCTTAAGGGGTTAACGTGCCTGAGAATCGCCAGAGGTTGCTTAATGCTGGATCACATGGTGAGCCTGTACAGAGCTGGAACATGCAGAGCCTGCCCATCTTGATGTACGACTGGACCTTGCTTTGCCCTAAGTCGGCGTGGAATGAGCTTGGATCCCAGATCAGACACTAAAAGACATAATACCACTCACCTTTCCTCTCCTCACTGTGTATGCTGGGAGACTTGCTTCCTAATTCCTAACTTCCTAGGTGTCTACATCTCTGTAGGCTGGGACTTACACATCTTGTTTTCCCACCAACCTGGGGGCCTCCAAGGGAACTCATTATACCCATTTAAGCATAGTTATAGCTCCCTCTTTAACACCCTCTACCCTATCGAGCTTTATCTGACGCACACAGTATGTTTCTCCAAAGCCAAAATGCTTTTCTTCTCAAGTCCATCTTTCTTGTTAATTACTGTAAAATATGCTGAAATATCTCTATGCATATTCTGGTATGACATGTTCATTCATTCGTTGCAATTTATCTAATGTACCCTGTGATACCTTTATTCACTTCAAAAACAACAAAAATAAAGAATAATAAAAAAAGATAGTTTTGGGGAGAACATTGTGAGATACAAAAATAATTCTAATATCCTCCTGTTAACTGTAGCTACATATTCTAATTACCAGTGACTTCATCAGCACTGTTACATAAAGCCTTTAGAGTCACTGGATACTTTGTGATAATGTGTTTAGCTAGTGTTAAATTCTGCCCATTTCCCCTATATTTATAGACTCCACCACATGGAGCACTACTGATTTAGCAAATCTGTGTCATATTATTCATTACCAGATGATTATTTGTCTCTTTATTGGAATTTTGCTTTTTTTTTTTTATGCGGCGCTGCTAATATGGATTTCCATCCTGGGAGCAATATAACCTAATTCACATTGTTTGTCTTTGATAAGCTCCATACTGACTTAAATCAACAATTTTTCTTTCTCTTGTTTATTCACTATTTTATTCCTAACATCATACATTTCATAAACATATATTCCAATATCCTTGGCTTGTTTTTCTCATAAAACAAAACAGTATAAAATAAAATCAATTTAAGAAAACAATGAATTTAAAATGAAACAATAAACATTTTTATATAAAGTTTTTATTTGTGTTGGTTATTTATGCTGCAATTTAAATCATTTAAAATCATTTAACAATTATCATTATTAGTAGTAAAACACTGTAAAGCGCTACGGAATCTGTCGGTGCACTATAAATAATAACATTATAATAATCGATATAACAGTATATATTCCACAAGCAACATGGTAGATTTGGGCAGTCCTTCTCAAAAGCTTACAATCTAAAGAAATGTTCAAAAGAACATACATGTTAAATATAATTTTTTTTAAATCTACAACTGTGAGAATGAAGCATGCTGAGAAAGTGCCAAAACAGAAACAAAACATGTTCAGGACTTCCAGTGTCTCCCCTCCTCTCCTAGTAGATTTTGCTATCTCCAGCTGCCATTTGCATCTCCAAGCTTCCCCCTGTTTCATTTCCACCTATTTGAATATGCATATCAGTTGCAGACTGGCTTTTGGTACATATTGGAGGTAACATCTTATTAGATGGGCTAGACATTTTTTATATTTTTCCTCTATCTATTTGTAATAAATTGTGAACTTTTTTATTACCTATCTGTGGCTTTGTTTTGGAGCTACTACTGTCTGCGGACTTCAATGTAAATATTGGTGTACTACAGAGTGAATGAAGGATGGCATCATTCAATCTATGACTGTTCTTCTGTATGTCCTTGTGTCAAATCAATACATACAATACAAAAGAATTGACTTGAGTAAAATTTGATAGAATTTTTTATTTTCAAGGATTGGTTTTAATGCCATATTTAGCTATAACAATTTTAAAGTGCCAATCTTAACATCATAACAACTTTGCATAATTGCAAACTTTTTGAGTGCAGAAATTACCCTGAACTAACCCTCAGCTCGGAAAGGGACTTACAGCTACAATGATGTTTTAGAAATCATTGCAGTTATAAGTCAGCCCACCAGACCTGTCACTCAGGCAGTTGGAACATTTAGTTCCGGGCTACTTTAATCACTGTTGTCCATATTTTGCACAGCATGCAATATGTGCACACAACATCTGAGCTCATGTTCATTCCCAGATAGAGATTCGTAAGTCACTTCCCTACTGTAAAACGGTCTGTCTACCACTGCGTTATGCAATTGTCAATAGCAAGCATTAGGAATGTTAAAAGGGTTACCTGTTTATTTTATTGATATCATTTTCATTAGAGTATTATCTAAACAATTTTGAAAAGAGGGAATCCATTTTTAAGTAGGCATTCCCTTTAAGATGTAATATTCGGTGAAGTCCCAAATTAAACAAGTACATTGCTCTCTTTTAAGGCCTTAATAAAAAACAAATGTTCCCAATATGCTGTATCATTGCGTATTTTGCTTTCTATCACTTCCAGATGTTCGATAACAAATCCTGCATCTCTCAGGGCCTCCTCTATTGACTTCTTATCTGATGTTAAAAAGTGAAATTTGCTCCCACCTACGGTGTAATATTTGCCATTAAATAATCCAGTTAGCAGCAGATGCCCACCCAGTTTTAGCAAGCATGACACTTTTTTCAGGTTCCGGCAGTATTCGTCTAGATCTTCAGAAACCGCATGGAAAACTAACAAACTGACCATGCAGTCTGCTTTTGGTAGAATGACTGGATCTGTAATATTTTCCTTGGTGAAATCACATTTTAAAATGTGTGAGATATTTCTTCTTAAAGCGTTTTCCATTTCATTGCCCTTGAAGCTGAAAAATATAACCAGATGGCTAAAGCTTTAACATGTACATCCAATGGAGACATATATAACACGTGATCTGGAGCATGTCTTTAGTAGGAGCATTGATTTGCTCTCTTTTGTTTTTACTTATTTGGAAATAAGTCTTGCCAAATTGTTCAAAAAATCTATTAAGATTGTGCAAACGTTCGGTTCTCCCATAAACATATTGATTAATTTGATGGTCGTATTTCTGAGCTGGAATTTCCATTTAGTTTCAGAACAAATTGTTGAGTTTGAATACGAATCAAAGGGATTTGTTTCAGACAATCCATGTGTTGAACTGTTTCACAAGTCTAGTATTTTTTTGCCTATAACTAAAAGGAAATTGTAAAATTCCATATAATATGTAATTATAATAACAATGCATGATGTGAGGTTGTATTACTAAGCTATATTATGTTACATAAAGGTTGGAATAACGGAGCTGCTATGTTTCTATGTACATATGAGGTCATATTAAAACTCACGTATGCATATGACCTTGCTAAAGACTAAAATTGATACACTGTCATAAATGAGGCTGTTTCTTTTCTGGTGAAGCAAGAATGTATCTTCACAAAAAGCTGATAGATTTTATAAGTTTTTAAAAAACACCTAATCTAGGCAAAAATAGCAGACATTAGGTTATTAGAGTAGGACCTGTCAAAGATGGGGTACATTGACATTGCGGCAGGCTTATGCAATGTACGATCATGTAATTTAACTAAACCCACATTATTTTTGCCTAGATTAGGTGTTTTTAAAAAACTAATAAAATCTATCAGCATTGAAGTTACTGTTTAGTGGATAAGTGAGTGCACTGGATCTTGTGTATTGTGTGTATATATATTTATATACATACATATTTATATATCTGAGTGTGTGTGTGTGTGTGTGTGTGTATATGTGTATATATATATATATATATATATATATAAAGGGCACGATACACAAATATTTAAATGAAGGTGTCACGATTCGGGGAACCAAACACGCCAACACACACACACACACAAAGTGCCGTACCGGACCTTAGAGTGGCCGGGCTAAGCACACAAAGAATAGTCAGAAAACAAGCCGAGTAAAGGGAACCAGAAGACAGAATAACGTGAAACAAGCCGAGGTCAAAGGGTAGGAGAAAGTCACAGAGTCGGATAACAAGCCAGAGAGTACGTAACCAGAAGCACAAGTTCAGAATCAATACTAACAAGCAAAGACCACAACAGGGCGAAGAGGAACAGGAAAGGTAAGTATATAAATCCAAAGGTTAATTCTGATTGGATAATTTCCAATCAGAATTAACAATCACACGTGGGAGATATCTAAACCTCCCACTGTGATTGAGGCACTGTGCCTTTAACGCCGGGTCAGGTGACTGACCCCGGCGTTGGTTAAAGTGGGCGGTCTCCCAGCGTGCAGCGTCATGCATGCTGCCGCTGGGAGACACAGAGGAAGAGGCGGACGGCACCCGTGGGAGAGAGGGTGCCGCCCGCCGAGCACACGGCTGAAGGGGGACCGCGGACGGCTGGAGGGTGAGTGCCGCGAGCGGACTGCAACCTCCCCTCGCAGCCGCCCGCGGGACCCTGACAGTACCCCCCCCTCGAAGACCGCCCAGAGGGCGGGAAGCAGAAGGCTTCAAAGGAAACCGGGCATGAAAGGAGCGGACTAAAGAGGGGGCGTGCAAATCAGAGCTCGAAACCCAAGACCGCTCCTCAGGGCCGTAACCCTTCCAATCCACCAGGTATTGCAGCCGACCCCTAGAAACACGAGAGTCGAGAAGGGCAGCTACTTCGAACACGTCACTAGAGACAGTACGAGGGGAAACGGGCCGTCCGAGAGGACGAGAGAACCGGTTACACAGCAAGGGCTTCAAAAGTGAAACGTGAAACGTGTGCGGAATACGCATGGAAGGAGGCAAGTCCAGGGAGTAGGAAACGGGGTTGACCCTACGTAACACTTTGTAGGGACCAAGAAACCTGGGAGCAAATTTCATGGAGGGGACCCTGAGACGGAGGTTCTTGGAGGACAACCACACCCTATCACCCGGAGCATAAGAAGGGGTCGCTCCCCTATGGCG